CCCCCGCGGGGCCCCCCCCCCGCCGCTGCCTCCAGCGGCAGCGGCTCTTCTTTCGGAGAAGCAATAAATAAAAGTGAAGGGCCATTTAATTCGAAAGAAAAGCTGGACATGTTGGGCTGGTGTAGCGACAGCAGCAGCCGCCGCCCCAGGAAGCGCAGCGGCACGTCCGCCAGGAAGTGGTCTTTGTTGTCCACGAAGGGCTGCACTCCGTCCCGCAAAAAGCCCGTTTCGAAGAGTTTCGGGTCCAGTCTGTTGCAAGTAATTTCGGAAATGAAAATAAATGAAATTAACTCGAAAAAAGAACTCTTTTGACGGCAGATCGGCCCCGAAACGCCGCGGACGCACCCCGAGAACTTCGTCGTCGGCGAGGCGTTGGTTGAGAAGAAGTACTTCTCGGGAACCACCTCGGACTCCCTCGAGCCGCTCCTCCACAGGAGTCTGTTTGAGAAGTTGCAAATTAAAATTGCAATGAAATTCAAAAAGAAGAAATTGCAAATTAAAATTGAAATGGAATTCAAAAAGAAGAACTGCAGCCAAGTTCGCGAAACTGCTCGCCTCAGAACCCCAGTGTCCGGGCGCCCGTACTTCAAGTGGCTCGAGTGCACCAGCTCGAGCCGAATGCGGTACTTCTCGCCCGCGACAAGTTCCGTTTTTTGCGATTCTGTTTTTTTAATTTTGGAAACTTCTTCGGGAGAAACGAGAGAAACGGAGTTGAAGCCAAAAGCCTCTTCCGCGCGCGTCGGCTGCGGCATGCGGTCCACGATGACTGCGTGTTCGTTCAAGAACACCCGCACTCCGCAGTCGCTTTCTGTTCCCATCGACCCAATTCGAGAATAAAACCCAAATAAACTCGTTTAAACAAAAATGCAAAATAAATCTTTCAAAACAACTAAAGGAAGCCCACCCGTCGTGAACACGAACGGCCCGCTGTGCGGCGCCAACAGGAACCCGTCCCACCCTGCGGCAGGTCGTGCAGAAACATGAACGGCGGAAGCAGACAAGAAAGCCCAACAAATGGCATTTATTTAATTGAAATAAAATGAAATAAACTTTTATTTGCAAATTCAACTCACGAATCGAATAAGAAAAAGGAGCAACGCCCTCGATGGGCCCTTCTGCAAAAAACTGGAAATCGATCTTGCGGTCGTTTCGGTACGCCGCGGCCGGCGCGCGGAAGCGGTCGTTTGCAAAATAGGCTCCCCGGAGTCCATCCGGCAGCGGTTCGTCTTCATAACTGCAAAAAAATGAAAAAATAACAAAATTAAATCCTTTTGAAGACAAATTATTCTTTTTTTCGCGGCGAAAAGCCCGAGATCGGCGCAGCACTTGCCCGGGGTGCACCAGGCAGTTCTCCGGGCTGCGCAGGGCAGCCAAACCCTCCCGCTCTATTTCAACTTTCAAATCTTCAACTGCAGACTCTTGAAGTCCCAATTGTTGAAAAGAATCTTCCAGTCTTTCCAGACACTCCATTCCCCGCCGCAGCCGGCTCTCCACGTGACCAGTGGTCTCCTTCACTGCAGCGTGGCCAGCCCCGCATGCAGTCTGAAACCTGAACCACACACTCCGTGCTTCCACGCCCAGCGTCTAGGGTTTAGGGTTTAGGGTTTAGGGTTTAGGGTTTAGGGCGAGGGCTCGAATTGGCTCTGCTGCGAGCCACCGTTTAGGGTTTAGCGCTTAGGGTTTAGAGGCACGGCTTGGGTTGCTTCTGCCGTGAGGAAAGACTTAGGGTTTAGGGTTTAGGGTTTAGAGGGTGGCCTTGGGTTGCCTCTGCGGTTAGCCACGGTTTAGGGTTTAGGGTTTAGGGTTTAGGGTTTAGGGTTTACGGTTTAGGGTTTAGGGTTTAGGGTTTACCGGCCGAACATATCCTGCAGCCTTCTTTCCTCGAGATCGAGGGCCTCGATCTATTTGAAAAGGACAAAGAGCAAAATTAAAACAAATCAATGCAAAAGGAAATGCAACAAAGAAGTCAAATAAAAGAAATGAAATAAAGAAATGAAATAAAAGAAATGAAATAAAGAAATGAAATAAAGAAATTAAAAAGAAAATAAAAGAAATCAAAATAATTAAAAGTTGAATTTTCAAATTTACCATTTGTTCGTTCGCGGCGAAAACGGCGTCGAATTCTTTCCTGACGAAAGCGCGGAGGGCATCTGCAGCAAATTGAACATTCAATTTTTTAAGTCCTCCAACTCAATTAAATTAAATCAAAAGAATCAAATTAAATAAATTGAATTAAATTAATTAAATTAATTAAATTAAATTGAATTAATTGAATTAATTGAGTTAAATTAATTAATATAATGCCCCTCCAGCTCACTGTAGTCCAGCGGCGCCGCGCAGAAGGCCCAGTCCCGCGGCCCCTTGCCCAGCAGCTGCACCTCCAGGTAACACCACTCGCGGCCTTTTGAACTTTAAATAAAAGTGTTTGAAGTTTTGGCAACAAGAAGTACCTGAAGAGCCTTCGGGGGACCGGGTGTCTGTACAGTCCGTGAAGGTCTGCCCCTCGTGCACAAACGCCGCTGCGCAAAGTCTCCCGTCAGTTGTTTTTCGGTGCCGCGAGCGAAACTCCGTCAGCTGCTGCAGCAGCGAGCCTCCCTGCGCCCCCCCTGCTGCTGCTGCTGCTCCTGCTGCTGCTGCTGCAGGGCCTGCTGCTGCTGCTGGGGCTGCTGCTGGGGCTGCTGCTGCGCCGCCGCCGGGCGCGGCCGCGCCCGGCGGCCCTCCGGCAGCTGCGCCTTCGGCGCCTGCTGGAGGCGCATTGGCTGCAGCAGGAGCTGCAGCAGCAGCAGCAGCAGCAGCAGCAGCAGCATCCGTCACTTCGGGGGGCCCGGGAGGGCCTCTGTCGGCTGCAGGAAGCGCAGCTTGCTGCTCATTTGGAACAGCTGCTGCAGCCCCAGGAGCAGCAGCAGCAGAAGCCCCTGGGTAGTTCTGGGGAAAAGAAAAAGAGCCCGAAGGGCCGGGGGGGGGCTGGGCCGCGCCCAGAGAGGCAGTCAGTGCAAGAAAGAGGAAAGCGGCCTTCAGAAAGCGGCGAGCAGCTCCTGTCATGCTGCCTCAGACTCTGCAAAGAAACAAAAAGAAAAAATACTTTTAAATTAATTCAAAGTTCTCCAATTCGAATAAATTCGAACACAAAATCCGCCGCGCGAAAAGTCGTTTCGGCTTTCCTTCGGGGGTCGCAGTCGCGCACGTCCCAGCTGTCTGTACACCCCAAACGTGAATTGGTTCTTCACGAACTAAACTTCAGCCGATTTGTCCAAATTGAATAAATTAAATTAAATTAAATTAAATTAAATTAAATTAAATTAAATTAAATTAAATTAAATTAAATTAAATTAAACAATTAAACTGCTTTTTGATTCTTTTTTGCAATCCATTTGTTTCTGCCTTTGCAGAAAACTCAGTTTCTTTCCCTCTACAGGCCCAGGGAGCAGTCTCAATTCAAATTCATATTTTTGTTCAATCTTTTGAATTTTTTGAATTTAAATGTTCAGTTTTTTTCAAATCTGAAGAAATAGTTGAAGATAATTTTGTCGTTGTCGATTTAGAGTTCAAACTCAATTCAAGTTTAGCAGCTGCTGCTGCCTTTGCAGCTTTTGCTGCTGCCTTGAGGAATCTGCAGCAGCTCTGAAAGCTCTTTATTTATTTCTTTTGTTTCTGGAGTTTTAGAAGAATCTTTTAAAGAGACAAAGGAGAAGCAGCAAAGGAAACTGCACTCCCAGAGAGGAAATGGCGACGCTGCAGCAGCAGCAGCAGCAGGAGCAGCAACAGCAGCACAGCAGCAGCTGCAGCACTGCAGCAGCAGAAGAACAACAGCAGCAGCACATTCACAATGGCTGTGGAGGGCCGCAGGAAGAGGACGCAAGCAGCAGCAGGCGCTGCTGCTGCTTGCTGCTGCAGCAGCGCCTGCTGCAGCAACAACGGGACTTCGTGTGAATATAATTTGACTTGCAATTTAAAAGTTCCTTTTTAAATATAATTAAAAGAATAAACATTTGTTTGTTTCGTCTTTTTGTAATGAGACAAAAAGCGAAAAATGAAACTTTGCTGCTGCTTGCTGTGCAGGAAATTCAAGTTTTGCAGGCCGGAGCCAACAAAGGAGAAAAGCCCAAGCTGAGCAGAAGTGAGTTGAAAAGCACTTTAATGTATTTTATTTAATTAAAATAAATTAAAATGAAGTTCAAAAGAATAAAAAGAAAGAAACTGCTTCCCCGGCCCCCCGGATCCGTTGATGTTCACGTGCAGCGAACAACGCCGCGGGCGGAGGGCCCAGCGGGGCCTGGCTCTGGAGCATCTGCGGGTTTTTTGGTATCAAATGAAAGTAAATAAATTAAATTAAAAATTGAATTGGGATTTAAAATTTTCTGCAGAGTTTAAAACGCAGAAAGCGGCGCGGGGCCGCCGTTTCGTTCCAGCGGAGGCACTGTAGCGCAAGTGACCCGGCTTGCCGGAGTGGAAGCAGCAGCAAATAGGACTAACTTCGCGTTCAAAAGGACTTAAATGCATTACTTTCTTTAAAAGATGCTTTCTAGCAAACAAAGGCGAAGTTTGAAGCAGCAGCAGCAGCCGCAGAGTCCCGCAGGCTCCGGCGGCAGTGCTGCAGCAGGCGGCAGGCCGGGCTGGGGTGTACAGGCAGCTCGCCGGCCGGCGCAGCCAGCGACCGCCTTCTTGAAGCTTCAGAAGAAAAGAAAAAGAAAAATATATTTTGGAAATGAATTTAAAGACAGATGCAGTGCGGAGAGTGTCGGCTGAGGCCCCAGAAGCCCCTGAGTCGCTGCGCGCCGCGTCTGTCCTGCCAGGGTCGTTCGGCGAGCGATCCGCGGAAAGCTGCCGCGATCTGCAGCTAAAACCTTCAATTCGAAAGCATCAAGTGCAAATAAATTCGAAAAAAAACTTTAATTGTCTTTGGAAACGCAAAATCCGGGAAGATCGCGCCGCGTTCAAGTTCCGGCGGCGAGCCACGGACCGGGGCTTGTCTGTCGGTGTCGGGCGTTCAGGCTCTTGGGACTGCGCCTCTTCTGCAATCAATTAAGTGGCGTCTCCTTTTATTTTCCAAACATCTTTTGCAATTCATTACTTGGAAAATATCTGCAGCGAAGAGCTTCCCAGATACGGCTTGCTTCTGCGTGCGCCGCCGACTCGCTGCGGTAAGTAGGAGGGCGCCGCGGCTGCCGCTGCTGCTGCTGCTGCTGCTGCTGCTGCTGCTGCAGCGTTTCCTGCTCGTTTTCCCAACTGCTGCAGCTCTCAACTTTTCGGGTTTGACGTTCGCACAGCTTTAGCCTTTTAAGGCCTCTCTCCAGCGGCCCTTCTCCCTGCTGCTGCTGCTGCTGCTGCTGCTGCCTCAGCGGTTCGGTCCCGTGGGCTGCGCGCGTGTGGATTTGATTTTGCTTCTGTCTCTTTTCTTCTTCTGCTGCCTTCCCTGTTTTCTTCGCGCTGCTGCTGCAGTCGGCAGCAGGCAGCAGCAGCAGCAGCAGCAGCAGCGAGGGCCACTGGTCCACTCCCGCGCTCTCGGGGTGTACAGACACCCGACCTCCAAGCCAGCAGCAGCACACCGCAGCAGCAGCAAACTAACAGCTTTTTCAACTCAAACCCCAAATATAAGCGGCCCCTTGCGCCCTAAACCCTAAACCCTAAACCCTAAACCCTAGATCGTGACTCTGCGCACTGGAGGGGCAGGAGGGCCCCGAGCAGCACGCAGCAGCAGAGCAGCAAACTCGCGGCTCCCGACGCTGCAGGCAGCAGCAGCAGCAGCAGCAGGGGAAAGTCGGAAGCAGTCTCCCAGAACCGCCGCAGCAGCAACTGCGGGAGCAGCAGCAGCAGCAGCAACAACAGCAGCAGCAGCAGCTGCTGCTGAAGCAGCCGCTGCACTCCTCTGGCCTGGACTCTGGAGGCAGCAAAAAGGGGGCAATGGGAAGTCGGCCCCCGGCCGACGGCCTAGGCCCTGCAGCTGCGTGTGCGCCACCTCCCAGCAGCAGCAGCAGCAGCAGCAGCGGCTGCTGCAGCAGCAGCAGCAGCAGCAGCAGCGGCTGCTGCTGCAGCAGCAAGCTCCAGCGTGGCACTAAGAGCCGCAGGGAAAAGGGAAGCTTCAGCTATGTGCGCACTGCAGATGAGACGCGAGTGGTGCTGCTGCAGTCTCTTGCTGCAGCAGCAACCAAAACCTCTCAGCACCTGCAGCAGCAGCAGCAGCAGCAGCAGCAGCAGATAAAGCGAAACTGCTGCCGCAGTCAGAGGAGCCCTATGGCAGCAGCTGTAGCAGCAAGGAAGCCAGTAGCAGCAGCAGCAGCAACAGCAGCACCAGTAGCAGCAGCAAACGCCACAGTAGCAGCAGCAGCAGCAGCAGCAGAAGGAACAACGCAGCACAGACGCAGACACAGACTATCTCTTAGTGCCAGCAGCAGCAGCACTGCCAGAGCAGTATCTAGGCTAGGAATTTACAGGAAGCAGCAGCTGCAGCAGCTGCAGCAGCTGCAGCAGCAGCTGCAGCTGGAGCAGCAGCAGCTCCTGGAGCAGCAGCAGTACTTGCTGCTGCAGCAGTGGCAGCACCAGCAGCAGCAGCGCCGCTGTGCCCCGCTGCTGCAGACACCAGCAGCGCAGCAGCAGCTGCAGCAGGGCCGCAGCAGAAACCTTACGCGGGCTGAGCGGAAGCAGCAGCAGCAGCGAGAGCAGCAGCAGCAGCGGGAAGAGCAGGAGGCCCTCTTGGAAGAACAGGTGCTGCAGATGGAGCAGCAGCAGCAGCAGCAGCAGCAGCAGCAGCTCGCTGATAGTGCGTATCCACTGCCTCAAAAGCTTGAGGAAAACACAGAGGCTGCTGTCAGCAGCAACAGCGCCAGCTGCTGCAGTAGCAACAGTGACATGAGCAGAGCCGCCATTGCTGCTGCTGCTGCTGCTGCTGCTGCTGCTGCTGCAACGAGTCCACCAAGTGGTGTGTGCGTGCTGCGCCCATCGCCTTCTTTAGGGTCAAAGTGTGAGTCTGTCCGCCCAGTGCCGCACAGCAGCAGCAGCAGCAGCAGCAGCAGCAGCAAATGCAGCAGCAATAGCAGCAGCAGCAACAGCAGCAAATGCAGCAGCAACAGCAGCAGCAGCAACAGCAGCAGCAGCGGCAGGGGCGGCGGAGTGGGGAGGGCTGAGCTTTCTTTGTCTCCGCCGAGGAAGAAGATGCATATTGAAAGCAGCAGCAAACAAAAAGCAAGCAGCAACACACATGCTGCAGCAGCAACAGCCAGTGGCGCTGCAGCAGCAGCTGCTGCCGCAGCAACTGCAGCAGCAACTGCAGCAGCGACGGCTGCAGCGACTGCAGCAGCAGCTGCTGTTGCTGCAGCTGCTGCAAGCCCGCTCTGCACACCCAGCAAGCTTCCGCAGCGGCAGCAGCAGTTGCAGCAGCATCTGCAGCAGCAGCTGCAGCAGCAGCTGCAGCAGCAGCTCGACTCCATTGGGTGCAGCAAAGGGCTGGCACCAGGAAGCTGCACTAAAGGTTTCCTGCACAACTACCGGCAGCAGCAGCAGCAGAAACAGAAGCAGCAGCAGCAACAGCAGCGGCAAAAAGACAAGCAGCAGCTGCAGCAGCTGCAGCAGCTGCAGCAGCAGCGACAGCAACTGCTGCAGCAGGAGCTGTGGGACCTTCTGGGTGCTTCTGCTGCGCCCAAAGGAATCGAAGCAGCAGCAAAAGCTCTTCCTGCGGGCTTTGCTGCAGCGCTTTGCCACAGCAGAGGCGGCAGCAGCAGAAACAGAAGCAGCAGCAGCAGCAGCAAAGCAGCAGCAACAGCAGCATCTGCTGCGCCGAAGCAAGCTTTCGGAAGCAGCTGTCGCGGCGGAAATGAAAAGAGCAAACATAAGGGTCAGCAGCAGCAGGAACAGGAGGAAGAGAAGGAGCAGCAGCAGCAGCAGCAGCAGCAGCAGCAGCAGCAACAGCAGCAGCAGCAGAAGCCGCGGCGGCAGCTGCAGAGAGACCGTCGGCTGCTGAAGGCAGCAAGTAGTAGCCAGCAGACGGCATGCGTGTCACACAAAGATGCAGCAGCAGCAGCAGCAGCAGCAGCAGCAGCAGCAGCAGCAGCAGCAGCAACTGCAGCGCCAGAGCAGCAGCAGCAGGAGCTGCACGGCCTCGCTACTCTTCAGCACAAGAGGCGAGACGGAAACGTCTCCCCCGTTTCCTTGCTGCAGCGAGACAGCGACGCAGCAGCAGCAGCAGCAGCAGCAGCAGCAGGAAGGTCCGGCGCGTCGCCGGCTGCAGCGGCTCCCGCAGCAGCAGCAGCAGCTGCCGCTGGCCCCTCAGCAACGGCAGCACCAGCAGCAGCAGCAGGGCCAGACAGCCCAGCAGCAGCAGCAGCAGCGGCAACTACAGTAGCAACAGCAGCAGCGGCAACTACAGCAGCAACAGCAGCAGCAGCAGCAGCAGCAGCAGCAGGGGGCGGCTCGTTCCCGTGGGCGCTGCTGCCTGAGGGAGCGAAGCTGCTGGTGTGCCGCTTTTTGGCCGAAGCAGATTTGCTGTCACTTGCTGCAGCAGGAAAAGAAGGAAGAGCAGCAGCAAGAAGCAGCCACAGCTGGCTGCTGCTGCTGACGAGGCAGCTGTGTCCCTGTCTTGCTGCTACAGCAGCAAGGTGCGAGGACATTCCTCTGGGGCTGCCGAGCAGCAGCAGCAGCAGCAGCAGCCCAGAGCTGCTGCAGCAGCTGCAGCAGCAGCAGCAACAGCTGCAACAGCAGCAGCAGCAGCAGCAGCAGCAGCATCCGTCAGCAGCAGCGGCAACTGCAGCAAATGCAGCAACTGCAGCAGCAAGCAGGGATGATGAGGACGTTGCAGTCAGCGGCGGCCGCTTGTGGCAGCGCATTCTCGCGCCCAGCAGCAGCAGCAGCAGCTGCAGCAGCAGCAACAGCAGCAGCAGCAGCAGCTGCAGCAGCAACAGCAGCAGCAGCAGCAGCAGGCGGTCGCTGTGGCAGCAGTGGGCCGAACACAATTTGAACTTGGACAGCTACGGGGGAGACCTGGAGCAGCTCTATTTGGACTGCAACGGGTGGAAGCCTCGTGCTGCTGCTGCTGCTGCTGCTGCTGCTGCTGCTGCTGCTGCTGCTGCTGCTGCTCCCAAGTTCAAGAAGCAAACAGCAATTGTCAATCCCCCGCTGGTCAACACCATGGACGCTAGGTGAGGCTTTTTCGTTTTTTAATTTAATTTAATTAATTTAATTAATTAAATTAAATTAAATTAGATTTAATGTAATTTAATTTGATTTAATTTAATTTATTTGGGCTACTGCGTCTTTTTGCTGCTGCTGTCTTCGAAGCAAAATGGAAGTTGAAATTCAAAAGAAGAATTTGAATTTAATTAATTTTTATTATTTGAATTATAATTAAAAAATAATAATAAAATAATCAGAGTTTAGTTGTAATTTAAAGTTAATAAATAATAAAATAATTACATTTTAATTATAATTAAAAATAAATAAATAAAAATAAAATAATTATATTTTAAAAGTATTTGAAATGTGTCTGCAGGCACCAGCACGGGCTGCTGTACACTGCAACAGAAGCAGCAGAACCTGCTGCTGCTGCTGCTGCTGCTGCTGCTGCTGCTTCTTCGCTTAACATTTACTCAGCAGCAGACTTGTCTTTGATACAAACCACCCAAATACAAACGAAAGCAATCAACTGCCTCGACGGTCAGCTGCTGCTGCTGCTGCTGCTGCTGCTGCTGCTGCTGCTGGAGTTGACTGGGATGTCCATCTGCTGTTGCTGCTGCTGCTGCTGCTGCTGCTGCTGCTGCTGCTGCTGCTGCTGGCCTTCTTTCGAGGCAGTGTTCGCCGGTCTTTTTGGCTCCCCAGTTTCCGAATTTTTTACTAATTTGAATTTATTATTTGCAATTAATTTAATTAATTTAATTTAATTTATTTATTTTAATTAATTTAATTAATTTAATTAATTTAATTAAATTAATTAATTTATTTGTTCAGTCACAAGTGACCTCTTGGCCTGCGGCGACGACAACGGCTGCCTCCACTTCTTCGA